GGCTAATATGCTAAGAGCAGTGCTGATTTTAAAGTAATTGAGGCTTCTTTGTTAATTAAACAGAGAAAGAGATAAGTGACATTTGCATTTATTGATGGCTTCTTTATGGTAAACGAATTGCCGGATGGTTGATGTTGATGTTTTCCAGTTGAATTCCTTTGGTATCTTGGCTGGGGTTGTAGCACAGATTATTATTGTCTCACACATCTGCTAGAGGATGTGTTTCCACTGTACCTCACTGCTCACAAATATGTGAATAACTTCCATATTGACCACTTGTATGCGTATCACCACAGTGATGTGGGAAGAGACTTTGCTGTAGGCATACAGAGCTCCAGGAAATGCTGTATGTGTTTGTTTTTCTCACCAACTGTCCCATCTGTGTGCTCTCTGCCTACTTTTAATCGAATGTTGAGTAGTGAGGAGCATGACTTAGGAAGTATGCTTTCTTTCAGTTTTTAGTGGTTACATTATAATTTCTTTTGAATGACTGTGAGTCATGTATCTGCCTGCCAGCAAGACACAACATTGTAGGAGTAATGGCATTCTTCTTTGCTGTTGGTAGCTGAAGGTGCTAAGCAGGTTATTAGCACTTGGTTGTTCATTCCTAGAAACAAAGCAAAAAGTTTGTTATGTATTTCGTACAATGTAGTTAAACTTTTCACATAATGGCATTTTCCACCTGTACTTTTCTGAGAATTTTAGCATTTATCTGAGGTTGTTACTCTTCTTGTTTGCCACAGGCTGGCTGTATTGGGTTTGCGCGACAAGGTTTTGGTAGCGGGGGAGTCTACAGGGGTGGCTTTTGTCAGAAGCTGCTAGAAGCTTACCCTGTGTCTGATAGAGCCAATGCTGGCCAGTTCCAAGATAGAGCCAATGCTGGCCAGCTCCAAGATAGACCCATCACTGGCCAAGGCCAAGCCCAGCAGCAGCAGCGGTAGCACCTCTGGAATAACATGTTTAAGAGGGGAGAAAAAAACCTGTGCCACTGCAGCCAGAGAGAGGAGTGAGAATATGTGACAGCAACAGCTCAGCAGACACCAAGGCCAGTGCAGAAGGAGGGGAGGAGGTGCTACACATGCTGGAGTAGAGATTCCTCTGCAGCCCGTGGTGCAGACCATGGTGAGGCAGGCTGTCTCCCTGCAGCCTGTGGAGGTCAATGATGGAGCAGATATTCACCTGCAGCCTATGGAGGATTCCATGCCTATTTCTCATTATTCTACTCTAATTTGATCGGTAATCAATTAAACTGATTTCCCCAAGTCGAGTCTGTTTTGCCCGTGACAGTAAGTGGTGAATGATCTCTTCCTTACCTTGACCCATGACCCTCTCATATTTTCTGTCCCCTGTCTAGCTAAGGAGAGCGAGTGATAAGAGTGGCTTTGGTGGGCACCTGGCTTCCTGCCAGGGTCAACCTACCACACTGACTTTGTATTTTAGTATCTGGAGATACTCCTGTTCACTAACTCAGAAGAAGCTATCTGCTTAAAAGGTTCCTGTCCTTCCCAGATGGAAGTGATACACACTTCAACTCACTGTACATGAGAGAGTGTGTGAACAGGATGGAGGTATGCTGCAGTAGAGAAAAATTAATTATGTTAAAGGATTTAAACCAAGCTTTGTTTAACTCAGTATTGTCAGTACCTTTTTTCTTCCAGACAGGTTTATCACAAGTATGTCAATAGAATAAATCTGATGTACTACTGTAATGGAGCTGTGTAGTCTGACTGAGTCATGGTATACTCACCATTACTATGCTGGCAAGCCCTTCAGGCAATGTTTCCAGCAAGGCAGTCCATGTTCTCTTTAACTGGTCAGTAATGTAATTATAGTGAGGTAAGCAACATTAGAGACAGCTTTTTAAAAATAATAATATTTTAAAAAAATTGTTTGAATTTGACCTCACAGTTGGATGATTTTTAGGAATGTGTATCTCCTTGGATACTTTCCTGTTGTCGTGCCCAGCAATGATCCAGAATATTATATACTGGAATGATTTCATATTCGCACAGCTGTGAACTAATTCTGTGCATAGGCTCTACGGTTTCATTGCTTGTTTTCCCTGAAAGGATAGTGGTTACCTGCCTGTAAGGTAACAGTTTACTTATTTTGAACATCTTTGTTAATAGGAATCTCATTGTAAAGCTAAATCTAAATTTGAATGTTCAAAGAAAATACATTTTGTATGGTTTGGCTTGTTACTCCCTTTCCATGTAGTACTAGAAGCAGAGAGAATTCCAGTATTAAACTTGCTGCTGTGTTGATGTCCTTAGGCTTTGCATTTGAAGTTACCTATTCTCCAAGGTAATACTCATTCTCTTTGCCCTTTGATTTGTTTTTAGGTTTTTTGTTTTGTTTTTGTTTTTAGCTATGCAGCTGATACTGGTGCTTCTATGCTTTTTGGGAATAGTTGGGTGGTTTGTAGGAGCAGATCCAAAGGAAGTCTGCTTCCACAGTAAGAGAAGGAAAGGGAGACAGGATATGGATGCTAAACTGATCAGCAAGCCATACGTCTTTCCTTCCTTCCCTCCCCCTGTTAGTTTGTCGTACAACGTGCAGTAGGATGTCCTTTTTCACCTTGGATCCTTTCCATGTAACTTTTTTTAGGTTTTACTATTTAAAATAACATTTACTGTTGCTTACCCTTACTGCCAGCAGCAGCTCATTCTGCCCATAGCAAATGCTATAAAAATGGTCAAGACTATATAGATGTACTGCTGACAGTCCTATAAACTACAAAGGAAAAACAAAGATTGGAGTGAAGGCAGTAAAAGATAGCTCATCTGGACAAAGTGATACAATGTTCTGTGTACCTACTTTGGGGGGTGTTATTCTGATTTCTTCTGTTCTTGTCTGCTGATCATTTTATCTTATTTTCCTCTTCCTACATTTATACTCTCTCTTCATTGCTTGCATAGGTTAGTTTTACTTCCTGTTTTGTAAAGGATAAATGTGTTTTATGCTCAGTTTGTAAAATCAGAGAAAGGACATAGGTTTTTTTTTCATAGGTTTTTTAGATAGGTTAAACTCTAGATCCTTTATGCCACTGCAGAATCTATCTTAGTTGCATGTTGTTTGGAGGTATGGGAGAGAAGAGTGATAAAAGCTAGAAGGCAAGTACAAAGAGCACAACCAAGAAACAATGGGAAATAACATCCTTGGCATTGGCTTACCCCTCCAAAAAATGTTATTTAAAAGTCAATTCAAATTTTAGGGGTTGGCTTGCTTTTAGTAAACCCAGGAGTAGACAGTGGTGAAAGTCGCTAGATATTCCTGTTTATCCATATATAGAAGAAAGACTCAAAATTACTTTAAAAGTAGAGGCAGGAGAAAAATTTTCAGGCTTGGTGAAGGAAGAGAGCTAAAAGCATAATAAAATAAACAGACAAGGCACACTCCTTGTCAAGTTCTTAAAGAAGATGAGTGGCTGTTTGGTGAAGTTGTGTAAGATGTTTTTTTCTGCAAAGGTGGTAACTTGGGGTTGTTACGTAGGCTCTGAGATATCAGGAGCCACACCTGTCTCCAGGAGGAAAAGGTAAAAAAACCTTGAGGGGAGAAAAGCAGCAGGACCTTGGTTCTGCAAGGATGGGGAAATGACAGAGTAGTCACATCTTTGGTATCTGGATGGAAAGCATCAACCTTTATGCTAAGCTTGGCATAGGCACCTTAATAACATACAGAAAAATAAAATATCAAGATGACATCACACTTAGGTATTTGCATCTTTCTGGCTTTTCTGTGGAGTCTGTTTGCCATGTTTAGTCTTCCCAGGAAGGCTCCTTATGGGCCTAAGGTGCTCTTTTAGACATAAAATTCCCATTTTCCTCCCTGCTTCAGTCCTTATTTGTCAATTCTTGCTGAGACGAGCTGGTCCTGCTCTGCAGGGACAACAGCAGCACCCAGGCAGAGAGATACTGTTGTCCTTCACAATTTCATTATTGCTGCCTCTCATGATTTTACTGCAAGATGAGTGATACTTATTTTAATTACCACCTCAGTTGCTGGAGTCAGTGATTAAATGAGAATCTTGCCTTTCACTTAAAAATAAATCTCCAGCATTTGTAGGTGTTGAGAAAGAGCTTGAAAATGTGGTAATGTGGTGTGAATTATACCCTAGAGGCTTAAAGGCTAGAAAACAAATCAGCAAATTAAAACAAGGCTTCATTTTATTACTATTTCATTATCTGAGGCTACTCAGATTGATAATACTGCAGATCAAAAATCACTTCTTCACTTCTAAGAGTTCTAATTAGAATTTCCCTGTAAATGTCTCTGCAGATTTTAAGCAGCCATTTGAGGAACTGTAAAGAGAAAGTCCGTCATTTTTATATGAATGTTCAGTATTGTTGGATAGATCTTGAGTTCACACATAAATGTTATTGAAAGCTACAGTCTGTCAATAAGTAGAGCAGGGTGGTGCCTCCTCTGGTTTTTACAATGTGCCAGCTACAGCGTACATGGACTCCAAACTTAGTAAACTTGGTGAACTACTAGTAACAAGAAGGGATATTGTCTGTACTATGAACTGTGGTGCCTTTTCCAAGGCAAAATTCTCTATTCTTAAATCTTTAAGGGATCTGGGACTAAGTCATGTTGAACAATAGTGTGCTCATCCAGGAAGAGCTACTGAGTGCATTTAATTATCCTCACTCGTTGTCTCAGCACAGAATGTGCTGATTATAGTTAATGTTGCCTTTGAAAGCACACTGCTAGAAAGAGCGTTAGGTTTATTTTGGTAGATCAAATTTGCACGTTGCTTCAGACAGTCTTAGGTGCCCAGCTGCTGTTTTGAAAGCAGAGTTTCCAGGCATAGTTGCTCCTTGCTTTGACCTCTTGTGGTTCTTTTCTGGGAGGTGGAGAGGGTCACAAATTTTGTATTCCTTCTCTACTCATATTTTGGCTAGTACCAAAAGTATTTGCAGATAAAAGCAAATAATTTTCCTGTTCATGTCCTATAACCCTCTAATTTCTTTATTTGTTTTCTTTTGAATGCAGATTTTAGTAATGTGCCTGATGTCACATCCAGCTTGAAAAGGAGCAGTACTGATGGCATTCTGGACCAAGTGCCACACAGGGAGAAGACTGATCCACCTTTCAGGGTAGGAACATGCTTTACATAAACGCTCTTATGAACAAAAAGACAGTGTTGTAGTGTTAACACTCTGCATTTTGTGAGAAATAATTTATTGTATGGCACTTAATTCAGGAAAAAAAAAGAAGAAAAATTATGTGTATTACCTTTATTTAGTGTTTTATTATCTTGAGGTCACCCTAAAAGGTTAAGAACTCTGGCGCAGTTGCTGCATCTCCAAAAGCAGTGTGATGGGGACAAATGACAAATAGGTGGAGACTTGTCAAATTCATCTTTCTGTGTTGCTTGAAGCCAGTTCTCAGAGAACAGTAAAGCTGCTACAGCCTTCTAATTGATTCAGTTTGGTTCATGTTTTCTTTTTGCTGGTACTTCTAGGGCTTGTTGTTAAGATTGCAGTGACCATAGCAACACTTGCTTAATATCAGTAGTTTTAGACTGGACTGCAGGCTTGGAGAGGCACAGTGTTTAAGAGCACACTCTCTAATTTGGAGAACCTTTGTGTGTCTGCAGTTACTGTTTGACTTCATTTGGAATAATGGAAGCTCAGACCTTCTCTCAGTTAGGACCTTGGAAGCTGAGACAGAGACTCCCAGAATCAATGTCAACCTTCAAATGTGTTGGTCTTTGAAGAGCAATTTTGTGTCCATTTTGCTCTGAGTCAGTCAAACTGCAACTTGTGTCCAGCTCAAGTGCGTATTGTTTTGAACCCCTCAACTGCTACCATGGGAGTGTTCTCATGCTGGTGGCCATAATTTTACTAGGCATTGCCATTCTGACAACAGAAACATTTTGTTACTTCTGTTGAGTTGGTTGTATCTCCAAGCAAATTTGTGATAACACTTGCATTACACTCTTGCATAACAGAAGTGAAGTTTTAGAGTTCTTACGGTTCTGCAGTATATTACTGTCTTGTACTAGGTTGTATGAAAAATCGGCAGAGATAAGGCACAATGTAAAAACTCAAAGACCAGAACAGGGAAGATCTATTGTGCCTCTATCCATACCTAGAGGAGCTGATCCTTTCTTACTTTTGGAATTATTTTGTAATCTACCTTAGTCTATATAGGTGACTTTATGCAGCTTCCTGACAGAGTAAGGAGAAGCCCAATGATTGTGGATCTTCAGCCCATCTCCAACTACACAGAGGATTCCCACAGAGATAATCTGTATCCTATGTAACACATTGCTTACACTACTGAAAGTCTTTGCAGCCACACAAGAATAAACTGGATTTTTCTCCCCCCTAGGACACATTATTCCTTTGGAAGGGGAAATGTGGATTTCTCTACTGTCCTGTTTCGGGGCTTCTACAGTGTTTTTAGGGGCAGTGATCTTTGCAGGAGCAGAGCACAGGTGACCGCAAGGCTTAGAATGACTTGGTGGCTGGCTGCACCAGCAAACTGGTGCTTGGCCAGGTTCCCCTGAGTGCCTTGGGGTGCCCTGCTTGCCCTGGGTACATGCATATCCCCCCATGCATTGTGTGGATATATGTGACTGAGCTCCCGTGCTGATGAAGGGGAGGAGATTCTGGAGTATCAGCTTTGCTTTAGCAGAAAAACGAAGCCAGTCCTGATCGTGTGTGTCAAATACTCCAGATGACAGAAAATTAGGGAGAGTTCAGGAGGATTTAAATACACCAAGAGCAATTCATGTACACTAGTTGTTGCTCTGAATGCCCTAAATATGCTCCAATGCTCTAAATTATATGCTGCAATTAAAGATTAAAAAAAAAAAAAGGAAAGGAGGGAAACATAGATCCACTCCTTGCCCTCTCTGCAGCCTCAAATCTGTTATGTCTAGCAGTATTAATGGCTTGTACACAATTTGCTGAAGTAACAGGCTATGCCGTGTGGCAGTTCACCTCTTGGGTTGGCATGCAGGTCTGCTAGTGTCCTTTTAAAAATTATCTGAAGCTGTCCTAGTTTTGTAGGTGCAAGGGGGGAAAACGGCTTGGCAGAGGCAGTCTGACTTGAACTGCAGCTGTAAACGAGCCCGTGACAGCTCTACAATTTCTGCAAATGGTTTGTAATTGACTGCTGTCTTTCTGTTGGAGGGTGCCTATTACTGTCAGAGCTTTTTATCTGAGTCTTTTGATTTCTCCAATAGACGTGGAATTAAAAAAAACCCAGACCTTACAGTAAATGTAGGTAATGTGTATATAGTAGGTGCTTTTGTGATTGAGTATAAAAGGAATTAAAATTATTTCTGTCTTTATAGCTGTGATTTGGGACCGCTCGCCAGATGAACAACAGCTATTGCTAATAAAAGCTACTTTGAGGAAATTGTGCAGCCTCAAAAAGCACAGCATCTGGATTTGAGTTTATTTTTTCTTTTCTCTTTTGCCTTCTGTTTCCTGCACGTGTTAACTTGACCCACGCCTGTGGGAGAGCAGGAGTGCAGACACCTCAGCGTTAGGCAATGCTGCAGAAGTATGGGGGAGAGGAAATCTGTAGGCTCAGCTCTCTAGAGGAGCCGCTGGTGGCGCTAAGAGGTTCTGAGCAAAGCCTGGAACAGGCAGCTTGGGATATTTCAGGGGAGAGACAGCTAGAGATGCTCACTTCCCAGTTGACAGCAACTGTAGATGTAATTACTTGGCTCTGAGGGAGCAGGCTCCTTTGAAGTTGGGTTGATTTGGTCCCATAACATGTAAGTAAATAACAGAAGTCTTAAAGCTTTGGATTTAATGGTTGCATGTCTGATTTCTAGATTTTGTGGTTTTCATTTGGACCATTTTTGTTTGTTTTTCACTATTATCTTTTTCATCTCATACCAACCTAAGCTTAAGCATCATCTTAACTGAAAGTACAGTGAGGCATTTCAGAAGTGCCTTGTAATCTCACAAAAATGAGTCTTTTGTTGTATGTGTACTACACTCAAACATGGGTTCATTCAGTCATTAATTTTTTTGTAGTCCAAGAAAAGAATCAATTCAGAATAGTTGTACGTTTGTCTTTCATGTAAGAACTAACAAATTAATTAGAGGGGCAATAGAGGATTGTTTCATTCCAGAAAAGAAGCTATTCCTTAAGTTATAAAGTAATATGAAAAGCACATGGACATCAAGAGCCATCCATTCCAGATGCTCATTAGTCTTTTCAGCTCTGTATTTCTGGGATGCCCATTTATACTTTTAATACCTTTAACTTTATTTTCTATTTTATTTAACAAGGTTAGATGTTATACTTCTAACACGTTCTGCTGCAGTACATTTTCTAACTGTGTTAAAATACTGTTTATGTGGCTGTCATCCTTGCAATTGTTGGTTCTGGAGTATGTAGGTGTGCTGTTGACAGAAGAATAGAGGACCTCAGAAAATGTGGGAATTGAGTATGCCTGTCAGTGCAATTAGTTTTAGTTGTGTTTATTCATTTTGAGAACTAATTGTCTGTGCTCCTGGTGCTCAGTTAAATCCTGGTATGTTGACAGTTGCCAAGAATCAAGTTCTCTGTACATCTAAGTCGCATGAAGCTGAACAAATTAAAATTGCAACTTTTCCTTTAGCTACTCATGATTTCTAATTGCAAACTGTATTGGTTAGAAATACTTTCTCTAGCCCACAGTTTCTTTTAAAATGAAGTTTAGTAGTCTGTTACTAACTTATCTTTAATTTGTATTTTCAACACATTAAAAATATCCTTTTATGAAAGACAAAAATAGCTAAAAGGTGAAATTTTACCATATAAGTAGCTCCTATTCTGTGGTCTCTTGTAAGACTGCTGTGATCTGACTTTCAGTTGCTCTGAATCTTTTGGGTATCATTGGAGATAAGTATTTCCAAAATCATATTAAATTTGAACAGGCAGGAAGAAGGAACTTCATATAAATGCATGTGTGAGAGGAGGAAGATGTATTTTCACTTCAAATATTTTACAGATCTTAAGAAAAGGTCTTAGAGTAAACTCTGTGCAAATTTTTCACATAACTTCATTATATTCTCAGCTGTATCTCAGAGTTCTTTATGAAACCTAAGAAACACAGTAAAAATAGCTAGTGTGATGCTTTGTAATCATGGTAAAAATAGTAAATGAATGCAGAATGGTTTTATGCTGGCATCTTCAAAAATTAACATTGCAGATGCAGAAACGGAAGCTACTCTTCTCAGTGATGAGAAATTTTGGATGTTAACAAGAATTTGCTTTCTAAAGAATGGCTAACTGGTTTGATTTTGTAATATTTTTGAAATAGTGCTGTATTTCTTTCAAACAATGAAGCAAAATTGATTCCGGGAATAAGTTGGGCATAGAGACTTACAGAAATTGCCTTTGCTTTACTGTTAACTCTTAAAATAGTCAGTCTGCTCTCAGAATGGGTTATCGATCGTTCATTAGTATGTGTATATGAGGACATGTCAATCCCCAGCACTTCTTAATAAAAAATAAATAGAAAACACTATACGCTGCAGAGGGAGAAAACTTTTTTTCTTCAGAATACCATTTTTAATGCAATGAACAGAAATTATGGTGAAAAATTTCTGAACACCTTTCCCTAGCATGGACTGCTTTAGATTAGCTCAGCTCACTGCTTCTCCACTCCTGTTTGACAGCGATGCTCACTTTCTCTCTATCTAGTGAGGAAATGAAGGACTCATGACAAGTCTGGCTAGGAAAGCACATGGCATCTTTGGCAAATGCAAATCTGCATCTCCTGTGCTGTTGAAGCTTGTGCATTCTGTTTATTGTGATGCCAGTTGTGGACAGTCCTCCACTTGCCAGACAGGAGTTTTTGCAAGCGCAGTGAGAAGCGGATGTTTCCATGAACTCTGCATGTCTGGGACCCTGTTGAGGAATCTGTTTTTTGGTCATCCTGCATGCAGTCCTGCTTCCTGTGCTCAAGGAACCAGTGTGCAAATGTGCCTAAATTGGATAGCTGTCAAGGTTTTTCTCCAACTCTTCCAATCTAAAGTGTACATGCAATTGAGCAGCTGATTTGCATGTCAGATGGTGTGAATGCAGAGGCTGAGGCTGGGTCAGAAAGCAAACCCATCTTCCCACTTCTGCATAATCCAAC